GGATATGAGGGTCCCTGAACACCATGTGGGTGGGTTTGATTTGCCAAAGCCTGTGGCTAGTGCTGGAAGCTCCTGCAGCCCCTTAGCCCAGGGAGCAAAGTCTGGACCTGGGTGTAGAATTCTGAGAGCCCCTGCAGTTGTTTTTTCTAAGAAGACACCGAGTAGGTGGAAGAAGTATGGCAGACACTGTGGACAACAGAGCTTTCCTCTAACAAGCATGGCAGCTGGAAGGCCTGCCCTTTTGATGGGAGTTCTTAGAAAATTCTGGGAGAGGTAAACACATCAGAAGAAAGATTTTATCTTCCTGATAATAAGCCAGGTGAAACTAATTACAAATTTAAAAGCAAAATTTTACAAAATGTGACTTACAAATGTTCCTTGGATTTATGGATCAGACTGCAGGGATTGTACTTCATTTTTAATAGTTAATTTTTAAAATAATGGCTATCTTCAGCTGTTCTAAGGTCTACCCCAAAAAGGGATTTTTGTCCACATTTGGACCAGAATTTTTTCAGAGACTCTGACTGGCAGGGTCTGGCCATGGTGGTGGCTAATAGACCCATTCTTTCACCCATTTAACAAACATTTAATGGCATGTGCCAAGCAATGAGCTAAGTGCTAGAACACAGGACAAACCTATGGAGCTTAGAGTCTGAAAAATAAACATTAAATCCTGCCCTATGGAGCTTAGAGTCTGAGAAATAAACAGATTAAATGAATAACTGCAAGAGACAAAGGAGAGGGTACATAGCTCTGAAGTTTACAGCGAAGGCATGTGACCTAGCCCAGTGGTAGTAGTTAGGAAAGCTTTACCTTAATAGGTGACCCTGGAAGACAGGTAGGCAGAAAGGGAGATCACTCCAGGCAAAAATAATAACCTGTGCAAAGGTCCTGTGGTGGAAGTCTAAAAGAGTAAACAAGACTACAGTCATATGCCACATAATGATATTTTGGTCAATGAAGAACTGAGTTTATGATGGTGGTCCCATAATTATAATGGAGCTGATTTTCCTGTAAGAAATTGAAGGATATGTGGTCCAGAAGGAATATCTTTTCCTCTGACGGGAGCAATATCTGTGGGGTTTGGCAAAAGATTCCCTCTCATAACACTTTAATTTTGAGTGTACAGATTACATCCCAGTCAGCCACTGACCTGTTTCAGCACAGAGGAGCCTGTCCCCGCCCTCCCCAGTGGTACATGTTCAGAGGGTTCTACAGTCCTCTGAGATCTAGCCTTATGGTCTTCGGAGTACACTGCTGAAAATTATTTGTCAAGCACCTAAGGTCCTGTACGAGATACAGTATTGTCACTGTCACTTTAGTAAAAGCTTTCTGTGACAGTATGGAGCCAGCCTGTCCCGGTACTTTGGAAATATTTTCAGGTTATAATGATGTAAAGCATAAATAAGTTTTATTTCTTCCATCAATTCAATGCCAGAAAGAGCTCTTTGTGCCAGACAGGGTAAATGGAACTAAAAACAAATTTCCAGAGTCAGAATATTGATTCCTTGGTCCTCCACCTTCTCCATGTTAAACACTGCCTCCCCTTTTTTTTTCCAGTTTTACTGAAATATAATAGACAATTAGTTGCCATATTTACATCGTACAATTCAATGAGTTTTCTTTTTCAATTATAGATGGCAAACAATAATGTATTAGTTTCAGTTGTACAGCATAGTGATTCAAGATCTATGTAACTCACAAAGTGATCATCCCACTAAACTTAATAGCCCTCTTCCCCCTTACATATTACAACATTAACTATTTTTCTATGCTACACTTTATATCTCCATGTCTATTTTGTAACTATCCATTTGTACTACTTAAACCCTTTGCCTTTTTTGCCATCCCCCCATCCCCCTCCCATCTAGTAACCCTCGAAATATTCTCTGTATCTATGAGTTTATTTCCATTTTTGTTGTTGTCATTGTTTACTTTGTTCTTTATATTCCACATGTACATGAAATCATGTGATATTTGTCTTTCTCTGACTTATTTCATTCAGCGCAATACCCTCTAGGTCCATCAAGGCACTATCTTTTTCAATCCCCTTTTTTTTAATCCATGTGTGTCTTTTAATCTGAAGTGTGTCTCTTGTAGGTAGCATATGTAGGGGTCTTGTTTTCTTAGCCTTTTAGCCACTCTATCTTTTGGTTGGAGCACTTAATTCTTTTCTATTTGAGGTACGTATTGATAGGAATGTAGTTATTACCATTCTTTATTCATGTTTTTGATACATGTTTTTTTTTCTTAAAGAAGTCCTTCCAACATTTCCTGTCATACTGACTTGGCATTGATAAATTCCTTTAGCTTATTTTTGTCTGGGAAACTCTTTATCTGTCCTTCGACTCTAAAGTAGAGCTATGCTGGATAAAGTATTCTTGGTTGTAGATCCTTGGTGTTCATCATTTGAATATTTTGTACCAAGTCCTTCTGTCCTGCATAGTTTCTTTGGAGAAATCAGCTGCAAGTCTTAGGGGTGCCCCCTTGTAGGTAACTGCTTTTCTCTTGCTGCTTTTAAGATTCTCTCTTTGTATTTAACCTTTGGCATTTTAATTATAATGTGTCTTGATGTGGGCCTCTTTGGGCTCCTCTTTTGGGGAACTTTCTGAGCTTCCTGAGGTGGTATGTCTATTTCCTTCACCAGGTTAGGTAAGTTTTCCATCATTATTTCTTCAAATATATATTCAACTTCTCGTTCTCCCTCTTCAGGTACCCCTACAACATGGATGTTGTTATCCTTAATTGTGTCTCATAGGCTCTTTAAATATTATTATATTCTTGGCCACTTTTTTCTTGTCATTCTGATTGAATGTCCTTGGCTTCCCCATCCTCTATATAGGTGGTTTAATCCTCTTCTTTAACCACTCTGTTGATTCCCTCTAATGTAGTCTTCATCTCAGATAATGTGTTCTGCATTTCTGACTGGTACCCTTTTACAATTTCCATTTCCATTTTTATGTTTTTTATCTCTTTGTTAAAATTCTCACTAAATTCATCTACACTTCCCCCAAGTTGATTGAGCATCTTTATAACCAGTGATTTGAACTCTGCATTTGATAGGTTGCTTGACTCCATTATTCCTGGATCTCTTTTCTGGTCTCTCATAAGATTTCTACTTCTTTGTCTTCCCAATGACTGTTTTTCTGTGTCTATATCTGTGTACTAAGCAAAGCTCCTAAGTCTCTCGGTCTTATTAGTGTGACTTTGTGTAGTAGGTGTCCAGAGGCACAGTCCTGAGAGGGGTTCAACTGCAGGCCAAGTTTAGCCCCAGCCTTGTCCCTCTGAGGCCACCTGTTAAGATTCAGCCAGCAATCCATATACTATGCTTATAGTTGCCTCAAGAAGTCATGCCAGAAACTGAGGCCAGCTGCCACCAGTGTGAGTCTTGGTATTGCTCAGCAAGGAGCACCAGACTCCCTGAGGACACCTGGTATGTGGTTTGGGTGGGGCTGCAAGTTGGGGAGGTTGAGATTCAGGGAATCCTCTGGGCTGAGGGACCTCTGTTATCCAGTTAGATGACATTTCATCTATGGTGATGCTGAGTCTGCATACTGGGTGGCCGGGAGGGCTCAACAGAGGAACAATGGATACTGCCAGCACTTCTCCCCGTAAGAAAGCCTCGCCTCCAGCCCTTGCTGGACAACTCAATGTTCCCCTGTAAGTCACTGGTGCCCCCTGCATAGCCAACCCCATGTGCAGAGCAAGCAGGTCCGCCACCACAAAAGTCTGCTAGCAGACACAGCCCCTTTAAGAGGCATCTGTAGCTGCTGCTGCCACAGCATCTGTCCCACTCAGCTGCTTGGGACCGGGTGGCCTCGGTCTTTGCCCCCTCCTACCTTCACTGTTGAAGGTTGATTAAATATTTCTCTCCCTAGTTGTAGTGCTTCTGTTCATCAAGATCCCAGGCAACTTTGCTTGCCATTTGCTGCGTGTTTCTGTCACAACTTTGATTTAGTCACAACAGGGGTGAACAAAGGCTCTATCGTCTACTCCATTTTATCATGTCTCAACACCCCCCTCTTCTTTAAACGAATACCACAAATTTCCTTAATCTAACCAGTGCTCCAACATGTAATAGTCAAAACAACATTGCCATGACAATCCCCTTGGTTCTTTTACCTCTCCATCCTGATTTCATGTTTTTATTAATCCTCAGGCCACCTTTCACTCTCTCCTGACAGTCACTATTATGGTGATCTACCCGTATAATAATGGAATATAATAGAAAGAACTGCACATTTTATTTAAGAAGTGACAACGGGGGTGACGATAATGACATCAGAGAAAATTTTAGCCTCTGACACCCACAGCTACAGTAAACAATACAGACAGACTAACCCCCACCCAGGTAAACATAAAACCTCACGCTAAAGTCTTATTTACCTCAGTTCCTTTTACCCAGTACATCTGACTTCAAACAAAAAAACAAGGCATACTAAAAGATAAAAAACACACTTTGAAGAGACAGACCACACATCAGAACCAGACTCAGATAAGCCAAAGATATTGGAATTATCAAAATGGAAATTTAAAGTTATAATCAATGTTAATGGCTTTAATGGAAAAAGTGGACAACATATAAGAACAGATGGGTAGTATAAGCAGAGAGATGTAAATCAAGAACCAAAAGGAAATGCTAGAACTAAATAACACCATAACAGAAGTGAAGAGTGTCTTTGACAGGCTCATCAATAGATGGGCATAGCTGAGAAAGAATCGGTGAACCTGAAGAACTGTCAATAGAAATGTCCAAAACTGAAATGCAAAGAAAAAGAGAATAAAAAAGACAAAACAGAATATCCAAGAACTGTGGGACAATTACAAAGGGCGTACTATACACATAATGAGAATGCCAGAAGAGAGTAGAAGAAATATTTGAAGCAATAATAACTAAGAAATTCCCAAAATTAACAATAGACACCTGTAACACAGGAGCCCCAGGCCTGGAACTTGCACCTGGTTTTGGATATTCCAGAATAACCACCAGGAAGACCAGAGGGATGAGAAATGCCATTTATTACTCACAAGGCAGGGAAGCTTCAGAAGCGGCCGGTCAGAGCTGCAGGAATAAAAACTGCTGCTGACCAAGTGCAAGCAGAGTTTTTTATGCCCGCAAGCAAGGGAGGGGTTATCTCGTTGGGGGAGCAGCCACATTCTCAGATGGATGGGATTAAGATGTGCTGCTTGGTTACAGGAACAGATAACATCCATGGGAGCAGCAGAAAACGTCCTTGCGAGTAGGCACTGCTTGAAAGCTCTTTGTGTACTACCTTCCTTGGCTGCTAGCCGGGCAGTTATCAGTCTTCTGAGTATGCGGAGGGGCTATGTTCTGAGTTAACCCTACAACACCAAATACAGATGGAGGAAGCTCAGAAAACACCAAGCAGGATAAATACCAAAAAAAAAAAAAAATCTACCTAGGCATATCATATTCAAACTGAAAAAAACACCAAGAGAAAATCTTGAAGCCTGGGAGGTAGGAGGGGGGACACCTTACCTATAGAAGAAAAAAGATAAGAATTGTATTAGACTTCTCTTCAGAAATCATGCAAGTAAGAAGAGTGGAATGAAATGTTTAGCATGTTTAGGGGAAAAGGCCCACCAGCTTAGACATCCGTATCTCGCAAAATTATCTTTTATAAGTGAAGGAGAAATAAAGACTTTCTCAGACAAACAAAAATTGAGGAATCTGTCACCAGGAGACCTGACTTGCAAGACACGTTAAAGTTTTCAGAAAGAAGGAAAATGATATAGGTGAGAAAATCTGATCTACATTAAAAAAGAACTTTATGAAAAGAATATGTAAAGATAAAATATGAAGGTAGATAACTAGAATCCATATATGTCCAATTTGAGTACTTTGCGACTTCCACCAACTAGATGCTGAATGTGTGAATCACCTCAGAAGACTGAATTTGGGTGGAGACAGGGAAAGATATGGGAGCCATTATTCTAGGAAAGATGGCCCAAGAAAAGGGTAGTTTCGCTAAATCCCTGTAAGGTAGTCAGGACAGGTAATTCATTCTGCCAACAAAGAATACGCACTGTGTGCCACGTCCTCTACTTAGCAATGGAAATAAGTAGACATCTGGAAGGGTGACAAAGAGACAGACAAATAAAACAGTTAATTAGATTAGGAGCTGTCTGGAGTAAGTGCACAAGAGAAATTTGAAAAAAGAAATTATTTTATTTTATTTTATTTTTAAGATTACACGACACACACACAATCAAACACAGAAAAGCACAAAATATTACCTAGTCTCACCACCCAGAGAAAACCAGGTTAACAAATCTGATGCATCTTCTCAAACTTATAAAGGCGCGCGCCCGCTCTTGTTTTGTAAAAGGAATTCTTACTGAAAGCGGCGCAACACCCATCCGGGAAGGCTTTGCAGCGCTTGTTTGGGGGCTGGAATTTAAGAGATCGTACTTCAGTGGGTGATGACGATGCCGAGGGCAAGCAGCAGGATCCCGGCTTTACAGACTAAGAAGTCAAGTCTCAGAGAAGGACGTGACTTCTGTGCAGATTCCGCAAAGAAAGGCAGGAGACTCCGCAAAAAAAGGCAGGAGCCGGGAGGGCCCAGAACTCGCGGTCACCGCAGCCTAGCAGCGGACAGAGGAATCTGACGGCGACAGCGACAGCGGGGGCGGAGCGGTGCCGGACCCGCCGGGGCGTGGCCTTGTGACGCGACGTCACGTTACCCCTCTCTAAGGGCCCATTGGTGAGCCATTACCGCCCTTTTCCGGGGCAAGAAAATTGGTAGCAGGACCGGAAGTGCAGTAGCTCTCGAGTTCGAGACAACGACGCCATTTAAGGCAGAGCGACCTGGTGTCGTTAGAGCCGGATATCACCTCCATTCAGGTTCCTGCCCGAGTTGGAGAAGACCTCCAGAATTCTGGTGGCCGATGGGAGGGCACTGAGTCGGTTCGCGAAGTATCCGTTCCCACCGAAACACCCGAGCCACTGAGGGCCACCGGAAGCCCCGCCCCCAGGAGGAGTTGGAAATCTTCGCGGTGGAGGAAGGAACCCTAAGGACTGCCCCCGGGGTGGAGCAATGGCCACGCCCCCGGGGGCCGGTCCTGCCGCTCTGCGTTTTACAGCCGCTGCCAGCTGGCAAGTCGTGCGCGGACACTGCGTGGAACATTTTCCGCGAGTACTGGAGTTTCTGCGGTCCCTGCGCCTTGCTGCACCCGGCTTGGTTCGCTACCGCCACCACGAACGCCTTTGTATGGGCCTAAAAGCCAAGGTATTGAAGTCATTGGGACCTGGAAGAGGGTAAAGGGGCGGGATGCGAGGACCTGACTGGAGCAGACCGCTTGGGAATGGGACCGGTTGGATAAGGGCAGCTTACCCCGAAGTGAGGATTTTTAGCTCAATACCATTCACAGGTGGTGGTGGAGCTGATCCTGCAGGGCCGACCTTGGGCCCAGGTTCTGAATGCCCTGCATCACCATTTCCCAGAGTCTGGAATTGTAGTGCGGGACCCCAAAGCTGTGAGTAGTCCCTGGAACAATCCCCACCCCGTTAACCCTTGGTGTAGCAAAGGTGCTCCTCCTCCTGGCCACTGGATCCTGGTGCTCCTAACTTGTCTGCCTTCTTTACCTTCAACAGACAAAGCAGGATCTGAGGAAAATCTCAGAGGCACAGGAAGCCTTTTGCCAGCAGGTGAAGCGGCTGGCAGAGGCCCCTGTGGATTTGACTTGGAAGCTGCAGGTGAGACTGGCTGGTTTGGAAGCTATGGTGAAGCTATTTTCTCTTCTTCTGACCTGCTTCTTTGTGCCTTGCAGGAACTTGAACAAGAGTACGGTGAACCCTTGCTGGCTGCTATGGAAAAGCTATTTTTTGAATACTTGTGTCAGCTGGAAAAAGCATTGCCTACACCACAGGCACAGCAGGTTTTCCTGGGGCAAAACACAGAGGGCAGAATGTGGGGTGGTTCTATCAAGGACTGTGGTCTTCATGCCTCTCTCCCTGCCCACAGCTTCAGGATGTGCTGAGTTGGATGCAGCCTGGAGTTTCTATCACTTCTTGTTTTGCTTTGAGGCAATATGGTGTGGACATAGGATGGCCACTTCCAGGTACCAGGACCATCTGGGAGAGCTAGGAATTTGGGGGTGGAGTGTTCAGCCTGAGACCTTTTGAGACAGCCAGCCCATTAGAAGGGTTACATGGGCCCTAAGCATAACAAACCAGACTGAGTTGATATGTTACTATCTCTTCTCTTTATAAGGAACATTGTTTTCTTTTTTAGAGTACTCCGTTACTAATTCAATGAACATGACAGAGCCCATGGAGCAGAGTCCTCCTCAGAAACCAAGACCAACAGCACTCCACCATCCTCTGCCAAAAGCCAAGGCTGGCCCATACCTTCCTCAGGGATCAGTCTCAAAGAAGCACCCAGAACTTTTGGCCGGCCACCACTTCAATCTGGCCCCTCTAGGCCAGCGAAGAATCCAGTCCCAGTGGGCATCCACTAGGGTAGGCCATAAGGAGCGCCCCACAGTCATGCTGTTCCCTTTTAGGAATCTGGGTTCACCAACCCAGGTCATATCTAAACCTGAGAACAGGGAAGAACATGGGGGACACATGGCAGATGCAGCAGGTGCTGTCGGTACAAAAGCAGCCTCCACTGGAAAATCTAGGAGTCCACTCCAGACCCTGGGCAGAAGGGCTCTGAAGGAGAACCCAGTTGACTCATCTGTCTCAGAGCAGAAAGAGTGAGTGGAATAGTTGCTTCTTTCTCCCTGTTAGCAGAACATTCCTTACCTGCTTTCCCTTCACCCTATCGTCTTTGCTTGCTCCCATCCCAGGAATTTCTGGGATTGCCCCATGGAGCCCCTGAGACTGTCATTATCACCTCCTAGGGCCAGGAAGCCAGGTAGGTATCCTGAGTCAGGACTGGGTAAGACAGCGTCCCCTACTGGGGACTCTTGAGGGCCTACGTTCACCTAGAAGAGTACTTTTACTCTGGTTTCCTTCTTGCAGTGTGTCTTCCATCTCTGTGCAGCCCTGTTGTTACCATAGGAGACTTGGTTTTGGACTCTGATGAGGAAGAAAATGGCCAGAGGGAAGGAAGGGTGAGTAGGGAGAAACAGAAAGCTGGGGAAGGTAGGGGATGAGGCAGAACAAAACAAACCCACATGCTCCAGAATATGGAGGGCTCAGGGAGTGTTTCAGTTGACGTTAAGTTCTTTTTGCTCCCTTCTCTGCAGGAGTCTCTGGAAAACTATGAGAAGACAAAGTTTGATACCCTAATCCCCACCTTCTGTGAATACCTCCCCACTTCTAGCCCCAGTGTCATGTCTTTCCCTTCCCATGACCACACAGACTCTTTAGTTCTAGACTCCTCTGATAGGACTGGAATGCCCTCTGTACCCAGCCTGTCTCCTTCCTCCTCACCTCTATAGGCAGTTTAGTGGGAATAAAGTGAAGGCCCAGGCTTGGTTGCCTAACTACATTGCCAAAATTACTTTGTAATGCTTGATAATTAAACTTTGGATTTGTTAAAACACTGTGTTGGTGTGAGGGAGGGGAATTAAGGCTTCTATAAGGTCAGTTTAAGTCATTCCTCATAAACAGAACTGGCCTGCCTTTCCAGGGCCATAAGAATCCCTTTGCCCTTTTACTTCCTTTGTAAAATGTTGTTCAGATGTACCAGAAAGATTACCAGGACAAACCTAAATGATAGTTTCCTTTTGCCATTCTGAAAATATCTATGTGTCCTGATGCCAGAATATATATTCTGTAAATTCTCATGCTGCTAGGTTACCTGGGGGTGGTGGCACTAGAATGAAGATGCTTCTTGGGAAAAGTACTCATTGTCCTTGACTCTACTCGATCAGTGCCACCTCCAACTCCACTTGCCCTGGAGCAGCATCAAGATGCCAGCCTTGTGCAGAAAGCCTCAGAATCTCTTTACAGTCATTGGGATATTTCTTTATTGAGCTATTTAAAATATATAAACAATTCTTCTGAGATTTTTAGATAGTCAAAAATCCTATTTAATGAAGCTGATTAACAAAACATGATTCTAAAAGCCGACCTCTTCCAGACATTGGCCATATGAAACACTTATGTATGAATCACTATCTTTTTCTTTTAATAATCTTCAGGAGCTAGGTCCCCAGATTCCCATTTGATTATCTTAACTTCATTTTATCAGCCTGCCTTCCTTGCTTCCTTCCCAGTGAGTGAATGCCCGGGCATTTTGTGTGTGCAGATAAGAGAAGTACAGAATTACTGCAGGAGTGAGACGACAGGAGATGACCAAATAATAGTCATAGTAGCTGGGATGGGTGAGGGGCCTGCTTGGGACGCCCTGTGGCATGGTGCTAGTGCCTTGGGAGGGCAGAACTGCTCAAGCCTAGGTCATGTCACTAAAGATTGGATTAACTTGCTGGGTGACACGGATGAAGGTAGTTCTCCGGCTCAGCTCCTTCAGCTTAGCTGCTCCCACATACGTACATGTGGAGCGGATGCCTCCAAGGACGTCTCGGATGGTATGTTCCACATCCCCTTTGAAGGGCACCTCTACCGTCTTTCCCTCTGAGGCCCTTAGAGGAGGAAAAACTTTCTTACCTTTTCCTTTTGGATTCCTTAAGCCCAGTAACTCCTCCCCAGTCTCTAGCATTTAGCCCCAGTTCACCACTTTTCTCCCAAGAACTGTACCACTCATCTCCCAGCAGCCATGAGTTCTGCCACTGCCCTATTTAGTCACACCTTCCAAGAACCCTCAGCTCCCGGGCCTCTGCACATACCTGTACTCAGCCACGCCCCCAGCATACTTCTTCATGGCCATTTCAGAACTCATCCCATAGAAGAGCTTATACTTCTTGCCATCCCTCTTGATGAGCTCACCACCTGACTCACTGTGCCCTGCCAGCATGCCACCCAGCATTACGAAGTCAGCCCCTGCTCCTATCAATGAGGAGGGAAAAAAATGAATCTGGCTCAGGTGCCCATATGGCCACCCTCAGGAGCAACTCATACCAAATTCTCAGTCCCGATCCTAGACCCTCAGAGGTAACTCATCCTTTTCTATAGGATCCTCCTTCTGTGCCCTCCCAACATCCTTACCGAAAGCCTTGGCCACATCCCCAGGACACCTGCAGCCTCCATCCTGCAAAGTAAGGAGCACTGTGAAAAGATAGCAGCCATTTCCCAAGCTCTCAGCAATGTCCCAATGGCCCACCTCAAAGCTGACAGGAACCCAGGAGTCCTGATCCACCTCTATCAGAGCTTCCATACCCAGCAGAAAACCCAGATGTTTGGCAGCCTCATACACTACCATGCCCTTGAACCTTACTGAAATGATGTGGCCTTTAAGTCCATGAGCAGCATCTGCACACTCCATCACTGCACTGAGCTGTGGATAACCCACTCCAGTTTTCTTCCGGGTGGTACACACAGAGCCTGAGAAGAATGTGACAAGGATGAGAGTGAAGTGCTCCACAGATGTTTGCCACTGAAAGGGTTAGCCAATGGCCCCCACTGAGCCAGCTTACCTGGTCCAATTCCCACTTTGATGATGTCAGCCCCAGAGAGGATCAACTCTTCCACCATCTCTCCTGTTACCACATTCCCTGCCTGAGAGAGAACAATCAAAACAGCATTCTTAAGGTCAGAAATGAAAAGGAGGTTGCACGTTCTCATATATAGCATGCCTGGACCATGCATGACCTTCTGACATTATTACAAAGAAAGGTACCTGGGTTCCCTGTACTGGGCCCTCTGAGGGCTTTTAGACTAGCCACTTCAAAGGACCCTGCTTCCCCAGCTGAGGTAAGGGGGTTAGTGGCCAGTGTCACTACTGCATGAGGGTAAAGCTGGGGTTCAACTAGACTAAGATCGAATCTGATTTATGGTAGATTTCTCTCTCCCACCCTACCAAGAGACCCAAACATATCCTGCCCTTAAGCTGTTATGTCATAAAACCTCTCTGGCTTAGGGAAAGGGGGGAAAAGATGGTAAGTAATGCAGGCTAAATACTCATATACACAGCTGTATTTGCTTCTGATAGACAGGAGAGACCTCTCAATGCTTGAAGAAAATGAGGCCTTGTCATCACCCCCCTAAGCTTGAAAAAACAAAACAATATTGTTTATTTGGACTCCTTAATATGACTGTAGTACCATGTCCATTTCAGTGGACAGATATATATGTACCACAGATATGTACAATGCATAAACACATCATGTTTTGGTGAGTGATGTTAGAGTCATTGGATTTACAAAGACTATGTATCAAGGGTCAGAGATTGCAAGACAAATAAACATTTTAAGCAGAACCATGGATAATCATCTGGTAACATGATTAAGCAGATGAGGAAAATCATAATGCAGCAGAGGAGAAATTAACCGATATAAAAAAATGGAATGGCACAAAAGAGTGGAAGGAGAGCAATGTACCAACTACAGGGTAATAGAAACATACCATGATGGTGTGTTCAGGGAAGCGCTTCCGCACATCCTTTACAAATTCAACAAAGTGTTCAGAGTAGCCATTTGCCACATCCAGGCATATATATTTCACCTGGGGAATCGCTTCCAGGATCTGTTCCAACTGCTCAAAATCAGAAGAGCTTGTGCCTGAGCTGGCAGCCAGATGCTGTGGAAGAAATAGGTGCATTGGCATGGGAGGCATTAGCCTGTGGCATGTCAGAAATTACCTGATGAGCCAGTGGGTGGGGAGGTAAGGGTTGATCCCCTTACCGCCAAACAAAGATTCCTGGAAAACTGGGATAAGGAAGGGATCGAGGGAAGACAAGTATTACCTTAAGACAGTCAGAATTCTGGCTAGCAAACACTTTCCACTGCTCGAGGCTGTAGTGTTTATGGACAGCAGTGAAGAGGGAGAACTGGGGAGAAGAAAGAGAGCCATCAAAAAGGATAGAACTTTATTAAGATCTCCTTCTCTAGAAATAATCTATTATACTACTCTGAGGGAGAAAAGGACTGAAGTCTGGAAAGGGCAACTTGAAGAACTCGGGTACAGCTGGGATTTTAGTTCAACCATTATTCTCCCTACAAATCCAAGTAGGGCTTTTTGCTGTTAGCTAGTACTGTCAAATACTTCCACCAAAGTACTAAGTCACCTGGATTGGATTTCACCTGACACAACATTACCTCACTGACTTAAAAGATGACAAAGACAAGCTGTTTGTACAATGGGACCAGAAGTAGACAAGAACCATGAAGAGACTGGACAGAGCCAGTGTCTGTCTATACTGACTCAGCCCCTCTCCCTCTGTTAACCTAGTAGAAGAACCAACCTATTTTGGGTAACTTCTGGTTGATTCAAAAGTCTAAATACTCAGAAAAGGTAAGGCCTTAAGGTTAACAGAGCCAATAAAGTGCTACCCCATCCTTTCTCCATCTCCACAGAGTAAAGGACAAATTTTCTTGAGACATGGACTAACCTGCAAAGTCTATTTCATTCAGTCTATTTTAGTCAACCAAGTCCAAGGATATAATGACTCATTGGATTTGTATCCCTAAGCTCAACAAATTGCAAAAAATATCCCAATACTTTGAGAAAGGCATTCAAAGGCCACTGTGAATACTGGTGTTTGTGCTTTAAAAGTGCAAACATGCAAACAGACAAGAAACAGTAGTTGACTGAGACAGCACGCTTTTTTTTATATATATATATAATTTTTTATTTTTATTTATTTTTTATGCCTACAGCATCTGGTCTTCCTAGCACAAATCTTGCAGTTGGCAAGAAATCCAAGGAAGTCATGTATCAGTCAGCAGTAAAGGTTATTGTTATAGTCACTTAAGAGATCATCATCAACACTACCTAGTGAAAGCTGATATTAAATTCTGCTTTTTCAGCAGCACTCTGCCACCAACATGCTGACAGACAAGAAAATCACTCTGGAGGTAAGTGTACCTTGGAGATATACTGGCATAGTGTGGCATGATGAGCATATCCAATTACATACCAAACCAGAGATCTAGAAAAAGATGATTGTTTGCATCCAACCTTTTCATTATTGCTGTGAGACTTGGCTCTATCTCTAAAATCTGACTTCTTAGCACTCATAAGCAGTACTGAAAAGCCAGTTTCAACATAAAATATCAAGACAGTGCCCATAAGGTCCATGTATTACAGCATGCCTACTAACAGTGAAGTCAGATTCGCCATTCCTCAACTCTACTGGACAGGGCGGGTGGACACTAGGCAATAGCAAGATTTCTAAATAGGGCATGGCAACAGCAATACAGTACTAAAACTATATCAACTTCACAGAAATGACAGCAGATATTCCACAAAGACTTACAGCCATCAAAAATATAGAAAGGGAGATGAAGTCCTTAAGGTTAACAGCCACAAGCAGCAGCAGAATCCATCAACCACGGATAGATGGATTAAGAAGAGTGCATTTGTTCTCAGAGTGGCCAGAGTAACTATCTACCTTCTCAGCTACAAGAATAGAGGCAGGTAATATTACTGACAGGAGCAGCATCTTCTATTTTGAAAGTGAAAAATAACCTGTGTGTAAGAAAAAGACATTCCGTTTTGGGCTCATCCCAGAAATTCCCAGGTAACAAGGACTTAAAGATAAAATTTTAAAAAAGGGCTAGGAGGCATAAAAAAATTAATAAACTTCTCTCTATGGTCTTCTAGATAGGAATTTCTGAATGCTCAAACTATATTTTGTTTCTGAACTAAAGGAGTGAACGCCTAGTTTCCTAATTTCCTCACGATGGTGTAACTGTAGAGATGCATATGATTTGGAGGGCGTGACCTCGGTGGTAGGAAAAGTTGACAAGATATATAAACTGCTGGACAGGAGAATAGGGAAAGTTCTGTTCATATATGAGAAAAATGGGGTGGGGGAAGCCAAAACTTAGCTTCGAATCTCAGTAACTCATATGGCTCTTTGAACTTATCAGATAAAGGGGCCTTAGTACTGGAGAAAATAGTAAAATGAAGCATCTGGACCATCTGTTAATTGCCAGAGAGTTGATCTGACGTGGTGGGGATGCAAATACCTCTGCAGTCAGCCGACATAACTGGACACCACTGAGGAAGTGGAATAAGAGAAGTCCTACCTTAGAGAGAACCTTGGCCATTTCAAAGGTGCCCACAGTATCCATATTGGCAGCAATGATAGGGATCCCAGTGTACATTTGCTTTGAGTTTCGAAAGGAAAAGGATCTTGTGAGATCCACCTGCAGATATGAACAGGAAACTGAGCATTTCGTTCAACCAAAAAACAAGTATTGCACGAGGACAAGAGCCAGGAATCTTTCTCACTCCTGGTCCACCAAGAGAAGCAGGCTCACCTCACTTCGAGACTTAAGAGTACTGCGTTTGGGCCTCAACAGGACATCCTTGAAGTCCAGTTTGACATCGTTGTCGATGTGAGGCATGGTGGGGGCCTTGGAGTAGCGACGAATATGAGAGCTGAAGGTGGGAAAAGTCATGAGGGCAGAGCTGAATCAATAGCAAGCCTTATTGCTCTTTTAAAGCTGGCGGCAGGGCTCATCTCCCTTCTCGCTTAAATTGTGGAAAGTCGGGGCATTGGTCGAGTCATGCGTGGTCCCTGAAGGCTGTCACCTCCGACCCGTCTCATGGCTGCAATTACCCTCGGTGTCTCCATCCCAGGGAGAAGAACTGGGATGGAATAGTGAGAGACCCTAAAAAGGTGCATTCTTTACGCCACTACTCTTCTCTCGCCCCTACAAAAACTAATTTGAAGGCGAGAAGGAATTGGGAGGCGGGGGGAGAGTTCCATAACCAGCTTCCGGAATAGGGGTACTTACTTCCTGTCGCCGTGGCCAAGGTGGCAGTTGACCGAAGCTCTCCTTGCTTAGCAACTAACCTCGTGCAGCCCCGCTGAGCCTTGTGGGTCTACTGCAACATGTTCCGCTAATAGCGGGCGAGAACGATTAATCAAGGAATTCCACCTTCGGCGGCGGCAGTGCAAAGATTTCTGTTTAACAGAGCCACACGCTGAGGTTGCCGTTGGATCCGAGAGGCTAGAGACTACAACTCCCAGGGTGGAAAGCGCAGAGCTGCCCCTGGCCTCATGGGAGAAGTAGTTCGCTCCGCCTGTCTCTTTCCACGAGACCTGGCTCTCTAGGGACTCTCAAAATCGTATAGACGACTTCTCTGGTGTAACTAAGCCATCCGCCTTCTTTTCATTTACGACGCCACCTAAACGAAATGCGACAGCATTCCTGAACCTTTCGGGAAACCCCGGGAAAGAAAGGGGTGGGGGTGGGGTGGAGCCAGAGAGCGACCCGGAAGCAGAAGTGACTCCTACAGGCGGAGTGCTGGGGAGCGGCGGCGGCGACCGCGGCGGTGGAAGCAGCAGTTTATCTGTGTGTAGCCTCAAACTGGGAAGAAGATGCTAATTAAAGTGAAGGTGGGAACACCTCCAGCCTTGCCAAGACGCAGTGGTACTGAACTGGCCGCTGTGCCTTACGGGAGAGCGGGGAAGGGAAACCACGCCTTTCCCGAGCTTGGAGGGTGCTGACAACCTCAGGGCTCTCGCGAGGGGTGATGGGAAGTAGGGGGACTCAAGAGGGTTTTGATTGTTGGGGGCTGGCCCAGCCAGACGACCGCGGGG